CTTGCACCACCAGGGAGGCCCCATTCTAGTACAGTTTTAAATTAAAAAATGTATGTGTGGACAGAGTTAGCCTAGCTGGCCAGTTGCAATTTGCACATTTAGATGTCTGGAAGTAGCTGAGCTCTGGGCTCTGTTCTTGTTCTGTGATCTCAAGGAACAGCCTGCTCCAACGTCAGGAATAAGAACATGTCATAGTACATCATTGGAAGCATTTGTGAGAAGATGCAAGTCTGAACTTGTTACATGAGCCCAAATATCCTTTCATGGAGCCAGCCAAGCATATGAAGACGGAACAACGAGCAGATTTGAACAAAGATTTCTATTGTTGTCATGCTTTCTTCTTAACTAAGGTGCTGGGACCCCAATCAAGGCCCAATTTTATTTAAAATCAGTTTCTAGGTGTCTAGATGAACTAGTTTGCTTTGTGTATCAGTGTCATCTAAGAAGTCGTAGAATCATAGTGTTTTGATAGAGAGGTCAAGCAACTTGCCAAGGCTGTCTGCATATTACAATTGCTACCAAGCTTGGGCTTTGGCCTCCTAATCCAGGACATTTCCTTTATAGGTGTTCCTAGCCTGGGGTCATCAGTATACTTCAGGAAGTTCTGGAACATTCTAAAACTCTATGCATTTTTTTTTTTTTGGATGGAAAATGATCTCAGAATGTTCTATGAACCCTAATGGTATCCTCTGCTGTGCTGCATTCCATTTTCTCTGCCTGCACACTCATGCCCTGTATGTCCATTTGGGAGGGAGTAGAATGGCTGTGAATGGCTCAGTTAACTCCTTTGCATTCCTCTGGAGACAACCACTTTCTCTAAGCTTCTTATTATCTTGAGAAACCAAGGGATGAAATACTATGGAAGAGTCATAAAGATGAATTACCCAAGTCACCATATGTTGATTATGTCAACTCTGAAAATGAGGGCAATATTATATTTTGAAATAAATACCCCAGTTCACATCCTACAAGCCCAGCATCAGTTTATCCACAACTAATCCTACCACCTTGGCTGATAGTATCACTAACTGGAGAACTAAACATCAACTAAAATGTTTGAACAAGGTAAATTTCTGTTTCTTCACTTTCCAACAGGCCAGTCAATTTCACATTCTACAATGTTCTTTTCTCTCCATCCTGGTGATGACTGACCACTATGATCGTGACCACAGTTCTTCCACTGGTCACTCTGCATGTCGATTCATCTTTGTCCAAAGAAGTTCCCATATAGCCACCAGAATGGTCCATATAAAGAACTCATCAGACCCTGCCACTCCCCTACTTCTAGTAATGCAGTGGTTCCTGATTGCTGCCAGGAAAAAGGCCAGGCCAGAGTGGAAGCATCAAAAGTCTTTCTGTTCCATCAGGCTTTCAACCAATATCTCATTACCTGCCACTCCCCACTTTCATTTTCCCTTAAAAAATGTTGACTTGCATTTCTCTATGCCCTTTGTGTCATTCCATGCTGTGGGCTTTTGCTCAAGTGTCTTTCACTTTTATCCCTTCCTGGAAGCCTTTCTTGGCCCCTCCAGGCAGGGCTTGCATGAGTCTCCTCTGTTTACAATCATTGTTGTTACCTTAATGTAGCATTTCACTTGGGCTGCCATAACAGATAGGATGGTTTAAGCAACAGAAATTTATTTTCTCCTAATTCTGGAGGCTAGAAGTCCAAAATAAAGGTATTGGCAGGGTTGGTTTCTTCTAAGGATTCTCTTTTTGGCTTGTAGATGTATGTTTTCCACCAGTATCTTCATATGGCCATTCCTTTTTTCCTTATCTGTGCTCTCATATCCTCTTCTTATTAGAACACCAGTCGTATTGAATTAACCCACAATAATGATCTCATTTTAACTTAGTTACATCTAGACCCTGATTCCAAATATAGTAATATTCAGTGGTACTAAGGATTATGATTCAATGCATGAATTTTGGGGAGACATAATTCAACCCATAGCACTTAATGTTGTAATTACCTTTCTCTCTCTCTCTCTCATTCTCTTTCTCAAGTCTTGAAGGAGGGTCTCCCTTTTGTCTGTTTTTTTATGCCATTGTTAATTAATGATGATTGTATAAAGTAGGGTAAGGGCATAAGTTAAGCCCAGAGATGCTCAGGGCAATGGGAGAGGAGGAAGGATTATTCCAGTAGCCTGCAGCAGTAAGGAGATTGGTTCTCCAACCTCCCTCTACCAATTTCCTAAGGTGCTGTAACAAATTACTATAAACTTGGGGGCTTAAAGCAATAGGGATTTATTCTCTCATACTTCTAGAGGCCAGAAGACTGAAATTAAGGTATTATTGGCAGAGTTGCATACCCTCTGAAAACTCTAGGGGAGATCCTTCACTGCCTTTTCCAGCTTCCAGTGGTTCCTTGCATTCCTTGGCTTGTGGCTGCATTCCTCCATTCTTTGCCTTCATCATCACAAGGTCTTCTTTTTTTAAGATTGATTTATTTATGTATACAAGAACTGGGCTGCAGGCCAGAGGTGTGAGGGGTGAGAGTCCTCACCAGAGACAGAGTGGGGAACAGAATAGGCAGATTGACTGAAAAACACTGCTGAGGGAAGCAGTGGGCAAGTCAGGAGAGGTCTACAGTGCCATGTGGGTAGCTACCTGGCTGGGGATTGAACTCGCGCTGCAGTGGTCGTGGACAACCCCAAAGGTTGTGTCTTAACCCCTTGTGCCACCAGGGAGGCCCATCATGAGGTCTTCTTTTCTGTATTTCTGTTTCCATCTCCATTTTCTTCTCTTATAAAGACTTGCCAGTGGGTTTAGGGCCCATATAAATGCAGGATTATCTCAAGAGCCTTGTTTTAATTCCATTTGCAGGGACCCTCTTTCCAAATAAGGTTACATTTACAGGTTCTGGGTGGGAGGAATGTCTTGGGAGGGGAGGTACTCTTCAACTCACCAGTCTCCAGAAGGTAGGAATACATCGACTCAAGGCATGGGAACCTCTCCCATGGGCTGCACTCATGGGATCCATATTTTTACCAAATGCAGAGGGTCTTTGAGAATTCAGTGGGCTGCTAGCACTAGTTTTCATTCATGAGCATGCATGGCACATCCTTAGCATCATCCTGAACTTGGGCCAAAAGCCAATATTCTGAGTGATTCATTTGATTTGTTTGCTCTGAAGAAAGATTGGAGTCAAAGGACATTAAGATTCACCCAGTGTTGGGTGCTAAACAGTACAAGCAAGAGCCTACAGAAATAATGTCACCATAGCTAATTCAATATGTCCTTGTTTCTGGGTCGGCCTTTGTGTTTCTGCATCAGTATAAGTTACCAAACACTGTTGTGTCAATTGACATAGAAGCCAAACCAAACATAGTGACCAGGAGAAAGTGAGTAGTGTCAACACCGGGAAGAGAATATCAACTGACTGGGATGAAGCTCTCAATCAAAATATTGGTGTTAGATCACTGACTGGTGGGTCCTTTTATGTATTCCCATTTTTTAAAGGGTGGCACCAGACAGTTCCTTGAGGGAAGAGACCCTGTCTTGCTTATCTACACAACACACAGCCCTATGGGGTTCTGAGTTCGTCCTGGGGGGCTCTGTAAATGTCAAAGTGAACCGAAGCCTCAGATAGACTTCACCCACCTAAGGATATGAAGACATTAGAAACAATACTGAAAATTGGATACTTAACACAATAGGTTCATCCTTGTCCATCGCCAATACATCAAGCCCACCTTGAGCATCATGTGCAAGGTTTTGAGACCTGCTCCCCCAAAACATCAGAGCCTCTCAGTTCCCATCTCCCTCCACACCCTGCCTCGCTCCTTATACCCTAGGCTTACTGGGCTCCCTACAAATCGGATGCTGTTCTAATTTACCTGACTTTGCCCAAGCTGATCCATATACCTACAAAATCTTCCCCCTTCATATATAATGAACTCTTCCTCATCCTTCTGGATACCACAACCCCTGGGAAATCATCTCTGAACCTCTGGGTTATCCTGAGTAAATGCTCTCAGAGCTTAACTCCATCTTAGCAGTTGTTGCCTAATATGACAATCATTTGCAAGGGTGTCCTCACTGGTCTGAAAGGGAAAGTCCTCTTCAGCTACATTGTATTCAGTTGTGTGTACATGACAGCATGGCAGTGGGCCCATGGTTAGGCTCATAAATATTTGTCAAAATGAATTGAAAACTGGTTTTGGGAAGAATAGTTAGGTTCTGTTTTGAAGGGAGAGCTTATTATTGTACTCTGGTAAATTTGTTTAGCATTCAATCAAAGACCTTTCTGTACCTGCCGCCATTGATATTTGCCTTTGAGGTGGGGTGCGTGGATGGAATCCTGATGGGAAGTCAGCCAGTATAGAGATATAAAAGAAGGGGACACTCATATTTGCTGAATATCTACTTTGAACCATGCTTGATGCTATGTCATCTGCTTTATTGAAAGCCTTTCTGTTATAGGACTGACAAACAGGGTCCCCAAAAGTTCACTGAGTCTTAAATTTTTCATTTGAAAAAATAAGGACAGCTTGAATGAGTGGAGCCAAGAGCCCCTCACTAGGTCTGGCCTGCTGTGCATGGAAGTGTCACTCTCTTCTGCAGAGTCCTTCAGATTCTATCTCCCATAGGGTCCTCCTCTCTCTCCCATCTAACTTTATATTGTTGTCATACTCTCAGAGGTATATATTCATCATCCTCTCAGGTAGTCCTGTGATTTTTAAAATGAGAAATTGGGAGATAATGAGTAAAAGAAAGGTGATTTTGACCCAAATCTTACTGAACCATATCAGGTTTTGAAGCCCAGCTCACTTTTCTTCCCTTTTGAATAGGTTTATTATTTGCATGACTCAAAATTTCAAAGGTACAAAAGACAGACTATTCCACCATACTCACTCAGACACCCCATTTCCATTTTCTGAGGCTGTCTATTCGAAAGCTTTTATGTGTATGCTTCCTTAGATATTTTATGCAAAGTCTGGCAAATATAAATGTGTTTACATATTTAAAATTCTTTTTTCTTCTTATTCCTAATACAGGTGGTATTGTACCATTTACTCTATTATGTACCTTGCTTTTTTTGTGGGGAGTCTATTGGGATATAACTTACACACATTAAAATTCAACCACTGTAAGTATACCCTTCATGACTTTTGACAAGTGTGTTTAGTTGTATAAGAACCACTACATTCAGTCATGATATAGGACATATCCATCGCTTCAAAAATTTCCCTCATGCACACATCTAGAAACCATGAGCCCTCTTTTCATCACTGTGGTTCTGCCTTTTAAAAAGTGTGACGAAAGGACATTCAACTTTGTGTCTTCTCTGTGTGGCTTCATTCAGGTAGTATAATGCTCTGGAATTTATCCATCTTGCTGCAGGTATCAGAATTGGCTCCTTTTTGTTTTTTTTTAAATTTATTTATTTATGCATACAAGAGCTGGGGTATAGACCAGAGATGTGGGGGAGTGAGAGGATCTACCAGAGACAGAGTGGGGAACAGAACAGGCAGATTGACTGAAATACACTGCTGAGGGGAGCAGCAGGCGAGACAGGAGAGGTCTGCTGTGCCATGTGGGTTTCTCTGTGGCTGGCTGGGTATCAAACTTGTGCTGCAGAGGCTGCGGACAGCTTCATAGTGCGGCGCTTAACCCCTTGCACCACCAGGAAGGCCCAGGCTCCTTTTTATTATTGATTAGTAGTATGCTGTTTTACGCATATGCCACAATTTGTTCATGCATTCATTAGTGATGGACATTGGGTTCTTTCCCAGTTTTCAGCTAACATTAATATAGTAGCTATAAACATCCATATGTAAACTTCTGTGTGGCTCATAATTTCCTATTCTCTTGGATAAATACTAGAGTGTAATTTTTGGGTCATGTCTAACTTTATAAAAAGCGAACTTAAAAATCATTTTCAAAGTGACAATAAGAATTTGTATGAGGACCTCCCTGGTGGCACAGGGATTAAGGACAGTGAAACTGGGCCTTCCTGATAGCTCAGGGGTTAAAGTCTCAGCATTATCAAGCTATCACCAGCCACTGCAGCACGAGTTCGATTCCCCTGTCAGAGAGCTGACCCACATGGTGCAGCAGACATATCCTGTCTTGCCTGCTGCTCGCCTTAGCAGTGCATTTCAGTAGATCTACCTGCTTTGCTCCCTACTCTGTCTGTGGTGAATCCTCTCAACCGTCCCCCACCTCTGACCTACACCCCCATTCTTGTATGCATAAATAAATAAAAATAAATCTTTTTTATTTTTTCAATTTTTTTTAAAGATTTATTTTTATTTATTTATACAAGCACTGGGTACAGTCAGAAGCACGGGAGCGTGAGAGAATTCACCAGAGCCAGAGCAGGGAGCAGAGCAGGCAGAAGGACCGAAGTACACTGCTGAGGGGAGCAGCGGGCGGCAGGAGAGGTCTGTGCGCCACGTGGGACCCTCCTCTGGTGGCCGCGGAGCAGCCAGGGATCGAACCGGTGCTGCAGAGGCTGCGGGCAGCTTCGCAACCCAGTGCTCAACCGCTGCGCCACCGGGGAGATCCTAAATCGTTTTTTAAAAAAGAATTTGTATGAAACTTTTAGTTACTTCTTTTCCAACACTTGATATTGTCAGTCTTCTATACTTAGGCATACAGGTAAATGTATAGTGTTATTACTTCATTTCCTGCCTTCCGTTCTTCTTTCCTTCTTTGCTTCCTTCCTCTCTTTCTACCTTTTTTTCCCTTAATGAAAGAAGGCTTTATTTTACTGGCCATACCCTGCAGTATGTCGTTAAATGAAAGCTGTTCCATTCTTAGGAAAAAAGTGCTCCACCTTCATCATGATTTTGTAAGAGACAGCTATAGCAAATATTTTGTCCTAGCAAAAGTTTCCTTTCTGATCCACCTTTCCCACATTATCTTTTAAAATAGTATATTGTCTTTTGCAAAGTCTTTAACTTGTACCTTAAATTGTCAGCCATGAAATGTAAGAAAACTGATGTCCCTGCTCACACAAGCCGAAATGTAATGCCTTCTTCTCATCTTTTAGTGTCTCATCATTCAAGCCTCTTGAATGAATGATTCCATGAGTTCCTTGGAAAACCCTAAGAGTAGTGAACTTTACTCCTACTGAAAGGGATCCTGTTTTCAAGCTACCTTTGGAAACCTGGGCCCAAAATGTCGACGTGATTTTTTTGTGAACTCGTTTGTGTACAGAAGAAAGTGGGCTGACTGGTAACTCTACTCTAAGATGATCCTCCCTTAGAAATATGAGACGACTTCTCTGTGAGTAGTGCATATGTTTTAGTGATGAAAGCAAGTGTGCCAAAATCTCCTGAGACAAATCTTTGTGAGACAAAGATTGGGATCTGAAATTTAAGTGGTGCCCTGTTTTTATGCTTTATAAGCAGAGACTTCCACGTCCCTTCATTAGCCTTTGGGTCAGCAGAACCGATAGGCTTGTCAGAGCCATCAGCCTCTCATTATTGCCAAGTCTTGGTGCACAATAATGACATAGCAACTGCTGAAAGAAATATGAGAATGCATTGTTTAGGAAACTACTAATGTTCTGAGGTTGCAATGTTAACAATTGCACAGTAAATATGTAAGGTGGTAATGAATAACTGACATGTGGACCTTTTGTTAATTGGACTACAACTGCATGTTATTTTTCCTTGTACAGAAATATTTTGTCCTAGTCTTCTGTGATGGCAAGACAGGAAAGAATCTGATGGATAACCTTTTTGTATTTAGAGTAGCAAGCCTCTACACACTGACTGGGTTCTTTTCGCACTGTACTCTTCAAGCAATAGCTATTAGCCTCATGTGAATTTTTAAATTTAAACTAATTTAAATGAAAAAATATTGAAAATTCCATCTACTAGGCAGGCTGTTCACATCTCAAGTGCTCAATTGCCACTTGTGGAGAATGGCCACTGAGTTGAAAAGTACAATGCTGGAACATGTCTGCCATCACAGAAAGTTCTATAGGACAGTGCTTTTGTAAAGTGACCTGGCGTGGCTTGGAGACCAATCAGCTATGTGGGCCTGTATTCCATTGTCTAAAATTAAACAGTCAGGTGATTATAAAAATTATGCAGTTGGCACAGAAGTATCTGTGCCCACAAAATAAAGAGATCACCAGTGGAAAGTGTTTACATTGATAAACAGTCTCTATGGTTCAAGTTCATATGAATCAATAGGTTTAAAATGCTGTTTAGGCAAAGCTTTACAACTGCAGTTGCCCCTTGAACATCATGGTTTTAGACTGCACAGCAGATTCTTTTCAATAAATATAATAAGTGTACTTTCTCTTCCTTAGGATTTTAATAACATTCTTTATCGCCAACTTACTTTATTATAAAAATACTATAACTAATACATATGTGTCAATCTATTGCTTATGTAATCTGGTCAGCAGCATGCAATTAATAGTTATGTTTGGGGGGAGTCAAAACTTGTACATAAATTTTCAACTGATCAGGAGGAACTGGCACACCTGACGCCTGAGTTGTTCAAGGGTCAACTGTAGTAATTGCTCTTGTAAATCTCAGCAAGCTGTCACTGTTCACTGACCTTGCCCAGGCCCATGGGAATCTCTGTGTGCCAAGTGTTACCCAGCAAAGCTGACTGTAAGGGATGAAGATGCTGTGATTCCAGTCACTGAGGTCAAGTGTAATTTAAGCCTGGAGCGCTCACACAGATCAGGACCCTTCTCCTCAGACAAAACTTACCAAGTTGTTATCTGGAGTGGGGAAGGGTGTTGTTTACTGAGAAAATGAGTGTGAAGGCTGAACATTTCTCTTATAAGTGTGGTGTGTTCTTATGCCATAATAAAATTTTTATAGCTACAATAATGATGATTTGGTCAGTGGAGGGTTTTACAGCCAGTCCTGCCCTTATTTTCTCAGAGCAGAAAGGAAATGGAAGCACTGGCAGAGTGAATCCCTCACTTAGATTTTTCCAACCAGAACTTTCAAGTCGATTTCTCAAATACCAGTCAGTCCTTTGTTTGATTGGTAAAGGAATATGTGGTTTGGTACTCAGACCCTGAGATGCTCTTGTGAAAAATCAGCATGAGGGTCATTGTCTCTAGATCTGCCTCCAATCAAGACTTTCTGAACATCCATCCCAAGCAAAACCGTCCCTGTGGTCTCAGCCAAGGGTTTTGAATGGGAACTATTGATCCACTCACCAAAATAACTTCGGGCGGTTTCTTGCTGACTACTGAATCCAGACCCAGCTACCTGATCCCTGATTTTGCGTTTCCTGAAGGGGATATCACCTTCTCAGGGGTTGTAAATTGTCAAATCTCAATTAGAGAACTCTTCAGCGCAGATTACAGAATGGAATGCCTCTCCCCTGGGTAAAGTTCTCAACAACCTCCTGAGGCAATAGGTCCCAGCAGCCACTGCAAACGACAGCTAAAAATAGCCAGGGTATAAAACCCCAGCTCACTGGACTATTGGAGAATATAGTTCACCAAGAGAAGCAGCACAGACAGTGATAAAGTGTTGCCTGGAGTTTTCTAACACATCATCAGACATGATGGTTCCCTGAAATCACTAACTCTGACCACAGCAATTAAAGTGGATTTACTGGGTGGGATTGAAGGCTCTTTTCTAATTATGACATGCCTCTGAGATTATCTGGGGGTACTCCTCAGTTTGTAGATGAGAAAAGTGAGGTTCTGTCTTAGCACCCTATCACTCTTCCATTTCCATTATGTCATCTTTTTAGTCAGTCAGCAAATGCTGCCTGGACATGGCTCAATTGCTCATTTCCTTTAGTGTCTCTGCTCAAACATCACCCCCTCCATATCCAAGACAGCACATTCCTTATGCTGTTTCCTTTTTCTCCTTTTTATTTCTGTATAATTCTGACATTGCACTTTATTTTTTAATTGTCTTTCTGCTCTTCTAGCATATTGACCGCCTCCAGAGGCAGGGACTTACCTGTTTGGGGTCTGGCACTTGAGTGGTTGTCCTGAGCTATATTGTGTGTCCAGCATGGCCCTGCCCTCTATTTGCTCTCACCTTTCTTCCTAGTCTGTGGGTGTTGTCCATTCTGGGTTTGGCCTCTGTTTTTTGTTATTTGTATCATCTGTTCTCTCTGTCTTCTT